GTAACGTCAGGGGTGACGTCAGGCATTTTGCTTGGCTGCACCCCCCCCCCGTTCCGACTGGTCTTCTAGGCAGAAATAGATGGTGTTGTTTACTGTTTGCTCCGCCGGAAACCCCCCCGCTTGCACTGGCCAACTGCTGGCCAGCCCGATTTGGCATCGCAGGGTGCAACATCACACCGAGCTTCTGGCAATGCCAGGCAACTGTTTTATGGGATCCCGAAGGCAACGTGCCAGGTAACGTCAGGGGTGACGTCAAGCATTTTGCTTGGCTGCACCCCCCCCCCGTTCCGACTGCTCTTGTGGGCAGAAATAGATGGTGTTGTTTGCTTCGCAGGGTGCAACATCACACCGAGCTTCTGGCAATGCCAGGCAACTGTTTCTGGGATCCCGAAGGCAACGTGCCAGGTAACGTCAGGGGTGACGTCAAGCATTTTGCTTGGCTGCACCCCCCCCCGTTCCGACTGCTCTTGTGGGCAGAAATAGATGGTGTCGTTTGGCACCCCGGAAATGCGCCGCTGCGGCTGCATTGTGCCTACACGCACACCGAGCTTCTGGCAATGCCAGGCAACTGTTTTATGGGATCCCGACGGCAACGTGCCAGGTAACGTCAGGGGTGACGTCAGGCATTTAATAGATGGTGTCGTTTGCCACCCCGGAAATGCGCCGCTGCGGCTGCATTGTGCCTACACGCACACCGAGTTTCTGGCAATGCCAGGCAACTGTTTTATGAGATCCCGAAGGCGACGTGCCAGGTAACGTCAGGGGCGACGTCAGGCATGTTGCTTGGCTGCACCCCCCCCCCGTTCCGACTGCTCTTGTGGGCAGAAATAGATGGTGTGTTTCGCTACCCCGGAAACCCCCCCGCTTGCACTGGGCCAACTGTTGGCCAGCCCGATTTGGGTAGTCTATAGGGCAGCAGGCCGCACTGTGGCCATCACCTGGGCTGCTGCATGCCTGCGCCTGGGACTACCTGCTGTTGACCACCCATCTTTCACGCGAAACCGATTGCCACACACCGTTCGATGGTCCACGCGTCCAGTTTTGACGTTACTTGACACAGTAGCTTTGCACCATGGGCAGCAATAAGCATAACCTTTCACAGCCACCTTGCCTTCCCTCCCAGCGAAACGGTTCCCGCATGCTTGCCGGTGATCTACATCGCCTGTGCGCACTGCACTGCCGACACTTGCCTTGCAGAAGGGACACGCGTATTGGTATGGCTTTGTCGTGGGTGTTGTGCGCTGTTCTTTCTGCGCGGGAGGCTGTGGTTCGGAACTTCGTGTTGTGTCCATCGCTTGCGCACCTGCTTCTTGTGTGTCCGGTTGACAGTCTTCCCTTTTCCGTTTCGGCGACTTTGCGTTTCTGGCGCCGCTTCTTTTCTCCACTACGGCCTGGCGTCTTCCGACGCCGCTGCCCGTGCGCTCCTGCTGCATCGGCCTCTTTGGTGCGGCTGTGGTCGCTGCTGTGGTCATGTCTGTCCCGTCTTCTTTTGCGTTGGTCTTGAGCATCTCCATCTTGCGCTTCAGCTGTGTCCCCTCCGCGCCTTGTCCTTGTCTCGCCGCAATCTCTGCCCATGTCTCTGCCACCAGCCTCCGGCGACGCTCGCACTCGAGTCGTTGACGTGTGTTCCGGAGCCGTTGTGCGCCTGTGGCCGCAACGCGGCGTGTCCACCTTCCCATTGCGCAGCAAACCCTTCCCGGCACTTGCAAAGGCCTCCCAGCACCTTTGGCCTCGTTCTTGTTTGCATAACACCACACGTTTGGAATGATTTCGACCCGTTCTGAGCACACTCCCATCCACCCAAATCGGCATTTCAGCTGAGACTTGTCACGAAAACAGAGCTTTGATGCCACACCCTGAAACGCAAATCCTAATGGCACGGCCACATCCAACACCCCAAAAACACGACTCTCCAAACGCTAATCCCAATGGAACTGCGCAGCGAACTGCCGATCTCACAAACCACTGCGCCTGCGCAGCGAAATGCATCACGCTTCTGGCGCGACATCTCATTTTCGTGCAAATCACAAGGTAATAGCGGCGCAAACTGACACGTGACACATCTATGAAAAGTCACTTGCAAAAGCTTCCCCCAATGGCAGCGCCTTAGCACTCTACTGCGGACACCTGCGGACGGTAGCGGACGGTTGCGAACATAGAAACAACGGGTCGCGAACAAGGCTCTACCCCCAGACCCCCAGAGTTAAACGAGAACCCTTCGCTACGCATTCGGGGAAACTTCCTGCGCAGGCACCACCCCAACGCTTCTCCCTTTTAAATTTGAAACATGCTCCACACGATCAATACTTTAAGCTTAGCTTCCCGTTCACAGCAGAAATCGTGTAGAGTGCGCACAATGCAACGAAAACATTCGCACGTTGCCTGACCATTTGGGCATGAACTCAAATGAGGAATGGTTGTTGCACCGTTTTTAAACGGTAGCTGAGATACACTGCAAGTATGTCATCCGGGGATTGGCACGCAAGCTCCACCAATAGGGCGCAGCCAAAAAACCGTGAATCTCGAAGCAATCCCCTTGCGCCAAAGAAAAGGATCAGCGACAATCAGGTCTTTGCGAACTGAAGCTTGGAATCCTTTCACGTGAATGTGCAGCCAGAGGTGTGGGAAAACATTGTGAGGAGCATTAATCATCAACATCCTGGCCTGTCAATCACCCTAGAACATGAGCCAACGAATACACATAGCAACTGGATTGCAAGTGCTGAACAACCCTTTGTTGCTCAATTTCCTTGCAAGGCTTCCTCATAGCTCAAGTTCAATTTGCTTGCAATACGAGTCAGGTACTGCTTCAGATTCTGCAAGTGTACATCAATCTTCTTCTACATCCCAAGTGGGTCTGGGCCATGGTTTTGACTATTGGGCCAACTCATTGTGAGTCAGGAATCAAGAGTCAATTGTTGCCACGTGCTTGCATGGCCGGAATATCAGAGCAGCAACTCGCAGGTATAACTGCGCGAAGGGTGGCTACATCATCCCGATGTAGAAGTCGGCGCGGGACCTCCAAAGGTATCCAGGCCTCTACACTATGCTGTTTACAGTTTGCCATTCAGGCCATTCAGGCTGTCTTTGATGGTGTTTTCGGTTTGGTGGGTTGTTGTTCATTTGTGTGAGGCAGGGAAACATTATATACTTCAATGCATTTAAGGTTTCAGGCTTCAGGCTACCACCACCACCACAGATGTTGCTACTCGGTCCCAGGTAGTGGTGATGGACTACTCAATGTTGCGCAACGGCGACATGCTCAGAGAAAGCAGAATGCTCAGAATGCCACCGAATGGTATGATTCAGGTGGCCAGTCATCTTCGTCTGGCAGACAGGGCGTCAAAAGGTCAGCGTCTTCTTCAGATGTAGCAGCTGCAGATCTAGAGGAATACCAAAGAACATATGGGGCTTTGTCTTGGATGGGCCTGTTGAAAGTAGTGGCTGAGCAAGATAGAAAATTGAAAGAATCAGAATTACGAGAATTGGCAAGAGACCAAACTATTAGTGACTTGAGAAAGAAAACAAGGCTCTTGCAGCAGTCAGTCCGCAGGAAGGGCAAAGCTTTAGAAGCTTCCAAGCAAGAGCTGGAAACGTGCAAGAGTAGGAAGAAAACTGCGGCTGATAGTATTGACAATCAGTTGCTGGACTTCTTGCTGAGCGCTGCTGAGGGACATGGCTGTGGGGCCATTGTTTTCTCTCGAGATCTTGTGGTGAAAGGATTGATGCAAATAGCGCAACCAGTCTTCAGCAACAAAAAATATGGAAGTCTACAGATGATTTAGGATTTACGGTTGAGTTGGCGCTGAGCAAGGTTACAGATGATGGAGGCACTTGGAAGTGGTATCGTTGCGTGCTTACGGCATCGAAGCTCTGTTTTGCCTGTCTACCTATTCCTTTTCATTAAAATAGGGGTCGGCGGCACCAGGGCGAAGCCCTTACAATCCGGGCGCCGGCCACGGGCCCGTGTCCTTGCCGGAGGCCTTCAGTTGGTAACCGAAGGTTATATACGCTCGCCGCCCCTGCCGCCGACCCTTTTGTTAGACCGCGGGGACACCCCCGGTCGACCTCAGGTCGACCTCAGGTCGAATCCGGTCGACAGATTTATATGTTATCTACTAGTCTTTTTGCGCGTGATGTGGAAAACATCGTTTTTTACCGTGTTTCGTGGCCTTTGGCGGACACGACTTTCGCCTAACAGGGCGCCGGCGGCGTCGGTTACGCGTGCCGCGCGGACAGGCTTAATCGACATTTCATGGGTGTTGGGCACATAAGTTGCCTTACATCTCCCCAACATAGGCCCCAGATAGCCAACATATCCCCAACATATGC